GTCACAATGCGAGCCCGGCCGGCTCTCAGTCTGTTCAGATCTATTCCCAGGTCTTGTGCGATATTCCCTACTAACGAGCCTTTCTTCAATTCTTCTGGAATCGAGTACCGAATCAGTCCAGTAACTACCACGGATTTGCACAAACACACAATCAACAGCAGTACTTGCCATTTTAGAGTCCTGCAATTTTTTCTTTCCGCCAGTGCAGATCGAGTAAATCCCATCTTTTCCAAACTCTTCACCCAAATTTATTTCAATTCAGTCTTCAATGGTTTTACCCTTTATTCAGATAGGATTAGGAAATTAAATAAATGCATCAAAATCTACCAGACTGTTATACACGGAAGCTGTTTCATCCCAGAGCTGTAAAGCGAGTCTGCGCGTCTTTCTGTATCTGTCTCTCCAGTACAGCGCAATAATATGGGAGGTCCTGCTGGTTTTCTGCTTAGATAATATTGCTCCATTGATCAACAGCGGCACTTAGAGTACAAATAAAGAACAGCTGAAACATGAAGACAAAAATGGTTTTAATTTTGAAGTTTCAATTCCGATTAACTCGCATTAGTAACAGAAGCCCGGGTTTATATGTAATATACATGTCATAAAACAGTCAAGTTAAACGGTCAGTAGAGAACGATTGGTACAAAGTCAGCACACTTCAAAAGTAATTTGCAAACCTCACAGAACTGCAAGAGAAAATAGATCTTAGATCAATGTAACATATCAGTCATGAAAGTCTAATGTATATTGTAGACTTTCAATTGATAAACATTTTCCAAAGCTAAATTATATTCTCAATTCAGTAGGTTTTGATGTTTTCAGGGCCGTTAAGTGTCGTACATTACAATAAATTTGACTGTAAAAACGTATCCCGAGTAAAAGTGATATATTTAACTTAAAACAAGAATTTTAACTTTGACATATGCGACAGCATTTCCAAGGAGCAAGCATTATTAATTCTGAACTTTTGACTACTCGGTCTGACACTTAAATGCGCTCTTCCCAGCACTGGTAGTTAAACTTCATTAAATGCTTCAGTGGTTCCAACGTCTGCGCAACGAGGAAGATAAGCTCTTTAATAACAGGAATATTCTCTTATTCCTCTGTTTCAACAACAAGCCATGTCTTTAGTTTTATCAAAGCTTTATCACAGAATCCTTATCAATATCCTGACGTAAAGGTCTTAATTCTCCATTCGGTAATCCCACTTCAAACAACGACCTGCCCGTAGCTTTTAGTAATTGTAACGTGCTCCGAGGGAAAAGCCCATACTAACTTTGCAGCTCAAGCTAAAGAAACCTCAATGGTGAGCGAGGACAACTTACAGAGTGGAAATTTAAATAGAGAAAGTGCGTGAAGTTAATTAGTGGGTGCTCGTGGGAATGCGACGGCGTCTGCGTGCCTGCGTGCGGTTTGTGACAGTAGTGTAATTGAGAGCCAGGCGTTCTATCCAGAATCAACATCAACAGCTACAACATTAGTGGCAATAGCCAAAATCTGAAGAACGTGGTACCATTTCATCCACAAGAGAGCCACCAGTGTGTACTAGGTAGAGTATCTGAGAAGGGTAGTCGTTTTGGTCTGGGACATACATTTTCATAGTAGCTTTAGTTCTCATTGGTGGAAAGCCACCATCTCGAGCTACTGTATAAGCTCAGCTTTATAGTCTTTCATTTTGTTTTTGTTTTGGTATCAAAGGACTACACAGCATAAATAATACGACTTTCAGAGTTAACAGGGACGACGGAAGAATTGAAAATCCCGGTGTTCAACTAATCTTCGATAAAGTAAGACATTCTGTTTGGAATCTCCATTTGTGGCTTTTAATGAAAATATAGACAATATTGGAGTATTATTGTCTGCAACAAAAGATGGTATCTACTATGTTCAAAGATGAGTAAATTAACAGGCATATCTGTACTGCTACTTTAAGACTTAAAGCAGCGAGTCTGCACCTGTAGCAGTTATTGTAATGTCCTATCTCTATTTACATAAAGAGAATAAATTCTCCCTATCTAAAACTGTGGCTGCTGCCAGCCTGTGACAGAACAATTAAGGACGATTTTATTTCAAAAACGAGATTTGGATTAATTAAAGAACTCACCTCGCTATTTCCGCGGAAAGTAGGTCTTTTGCATTAATAACACTGCAGTTATTGTTGTTCCGGCTGAGGACTCATCGGGCACCGGTCATTACTGGTTCATTGTCATTTACATCCAAAACCTCAATGATAACTTTACTTGTGTTGTTGAGGCCCTTCAAAACTTTGCTTTCTACGTCGATCTCATAATATCTGACCTCTTCAAAATCTTTTCGATTTAAAAGTGCTGTCTTACCAGTGATTCCACCTACGGTGTAAGTGAAACGCAAACGTTACATAATATTAAAAGTTTGACAACGGATATATTAACAATCCATTCGATTTGGTGCCTGCATCGCTTGCGACATTGAATAAATGGGAGAGACTGACGGATCTTACATGATATCTCCAACTTGATCAAGAGCGGCACTGAGAGATAAAAACAGAAAGTTCAAAATATTCTAATTTCACTAATACGTTAGATATGATTGGAATCCTTGGAATGTATTCAGAGTGTTAAGAACGTGTACATTTTTACTGTATTTGTTTCATTATATAAAGGAAAGATTCAATAAGCTACAGACATACTGCTAGCTCTGCATCTACTGTAAAACATTAAGAAGTCGCCTACTCTGCATTTTTACTTAGAACAATACGCACTAACAGAACGATGAATTCATAAAGAAAATAATATTCACGGGTATATAACTGAACTGAAGTCGATGGAACTAGGCGCCAAACGTTTCAAATTATGTCATACCAAGTAAAAATAGACCATTTAAGCCTCTGGATAATCGTAATAGAAAGAGTCATCACAATTGAAAGCCAATTAAAATCAAACTTAAATTCAAACCGATTTGAAATAGTGCAACTTTATAGAACTTTAAGTAAAAATATATTATTTCAATTTTAAATCATTATTAACAACAATCCCTTATGAGAAAGCCACTGCTTACTTGCAGGGGTGGGCCCAATCTTTTTTGGAGGTAAGTGATTTATAGCTGAACAACAATCTGGGAGGCCAGTCCATAGTAGGACACACACAGACGCAAACAAACTGGGACGATACTGAAACAGCATTGGAGACATGTCTTTGAATGTGGCAGGACACTGCTGACCCAAAGAAAATTCAATAGGACCCCAGGGAAAAACGCATTTAAAGCGATAAATTCAAGAATCTAAAACAAAGAGGTAGCGCAAACTACTGTGCTGTCTTGCCATCATCAACATAAACATAATGTAAAGCTTTAGTTTTATCAATTAAATTAATTGCTGAAATTGGTAGATCTCCTGAATCTTTCAGGGAACACTCACCTCTGCTGTATCTGTGTCATCTATGAGATTCTTCTCTTTCTGCAAATGAGGCAGAGTCACTGACCCGCTGGCATCAGCGTTAAGAAGACTTTGGCTATATGGTCGGATGTATCTGTATTCACTTTTCCCAGAGTCTGTTGTCAAACATACTTCGTAATTGTACACGTGCTGTAGAGTTCCGGTAGCTCCAACGTCTGCGTAACGGGGAGGATAATATGCACTTGGAATAACGGGGAGATTCCCATTGGATTCATAGAACAAACGAGATTGTCTCCATCGATAGACCTTCACTGATAACAGAACGATAATAGAAACAATAAAAAGAAAGGAAACTACAGCCAAGGACAACACTAAATAAAAAGTCAGGTTGTCATTGTAATCCTTGTTCTGTGAAGAGTCACTGAATTCCGAGAGCACTTCAGGGAAGCTGTCCGCCACCGCCACGTTCACATTCACTGTAGCTGAACGAGAGGGCTGCCCGT